TTGTGCAGACCTGCAATGAAGATGCACTTTAGGTAAAAATACAAAAACACCAGCAATCAATGATGATTCATGTGGTTCTAGTAGCACGATATTGAGGCCCAAAGGTTGACACACCGGTGTTACTGCTTCGCTAGCCATGGGGCGGACAATGCAGAGTGTGTTAATGAAGGATGCCACAATGGGTGCAGTGTATTATGTGGCCGGCACAATGCAACAGCAGAAATTCAAAAGGACATTTCAGCTTTGCAACATTGACTCTGCGGGGAACCGAGTACTTCCTCGGCATCAAAAGCTTAATTCTGATCAAAAAGCTACAGAGTTCAATTCAATCTGACCCTGATCCATGTGAGATCGGATCTTTGCATCGGCAACCAAGGCCTTCCGGGGGAAATGAAACTCACATGTTCCTATTCACCGCCGGACCGACGGCAATATTCCCAACTGGGAGAAATTGATCGGGAGTAGTGCGATTCATATGACGGGAATAGTGCGATTTGACGATGTCAAGATAACACCTAATGTGTCCGTTGGATTAGCAAGCAAGCGCTTTTACATTCTCCCCGTCCCTTTTATACCCACTGTTGTTCCTTCGTGCGAATTGATGGTGCCAATGCTTTCTTTCCCTCTGTGTGTGTCGTTGTGAATCTCTGCTTTCTATCTCCAGTCTCTGGTGCAGTTCGCAAGCTATGGGCCCTGATAGCGGCACTGGCCGGAAAGGGGTGGGGCCGGCGGTGGGGAAAGTTCCCAAATCCACTGGTGGCAAGGGCCGGCAAGCGGTTGGGCGTGTGGTGGAGAAGGGAAAGAAGGAAGTCAAGCGGATGTACGAAGCCGTCACCAAAAAGCGTGGAAGGACCAAGACAGTTCGCTTTGAAGAAGATATGACGGACGCCGACAAACCACAAGACCGGCCAGCAAAGAGGACACGTAGCACTGTTGAAGACCTGGTCGAAGATATCATCCCTACTGTTGAGTATCAGGTCCCCCCAAAGAAGACAATCCGGCCAAGATGGGTATGTCAACTGAATTGTACATACCATTCATACTGACTCGGTGAAAGCTGCAATGCGACCTAATGGCGAAGTGGCTCAAGTTTCAGGACAAGTACCTGAGCAAGCTACTTGATATGGAACGGCGATCTAGTGGCGACAACTGTCCGACATGCCAAGGGCCTGCCAGTACTTGGCGGTGTCTCTCTTGCTTGGGCACGCCGGAGGGATGCACCACTTGTATGCGGAAGGCACACCGGCTACTGCCTTTTCACCAGGTCGAGCACTGGGAGGCCGATCACTGGGAGGCAACTACAACTGCACAACTCGGCGTGAAGCTATACATGGGCCATGGTGGAGATTGTTGCCCTCATTTAACAGAGGCGGATGCAAGCACCGCCAATGATGATGATGCTGATGACGACGACTGGGAGGACGAAGACTTCCCTGAAGGACAGGACGAGGAAGAACCCATTGTGGATGTCGACAGTGCTCCAGCTGACTTCAATCTTGGCCGGAGGTACACACAGTTCACTCGGACAGAGACGTCGGCCAGCAAGAAGCACCGCCGGCATCTCATTGTGGTCGACAAATCCGGCGTATACGAGTTTCCTGTCGTCTGGTGCGCCTGTGGAGGCACATCCAAGGACGAGCAGCTGTTTGATATGCGTTTGTACCCTGCATCTCAACAATATCCCAGGACTGCTTTCACATTTGAGGTGCTGGACGACTTTCTGATATGCAACTTTGAGAGCAAGGAGCCAGCTCATGCATATTTCCGGCGTCTGATACGGTTGAGCAATGAAGCATTTCCGGACTCTGTACCAGTACGCTTAAGCCTTTGCTTTTGCACAAATTGATAGATATACTGAACGTCTTGTAGGACCGGTACCGAGAGCTCATGAGATGTGCAAGGCAATGGCTCCGGCTAACTACTCGCAAGGAAGAAGGTCACGGGTTTGGCCAGTCGGCCATGGAGGAGGCAATCGGTTCCCTGGCACCATTCTGTGTGGCATGTCCACAGCCTGGTGTCAACTTGGATGAGAACTGGAAGGAGAATGGGTAAGATGAAGGTCTTGCTACACTGATGGCATGCTCACCCTCCTATGTAGGCCAGAGTGGCTTTACTATGGCCGAATTCTGGTGGACGGGAACTTCAAACAACAAAGCTATGCCAAGCGCCGGCCTGAAAACGATGTCGCTCTTGCTGATGGACTAGGATATACAGTGGACAAGGCCAAGTATGCTAAGCATATTGCGACTGCCAAGGACATAGCTTATGTGAGTCTGATTTACTCCAACCACTACATGCAGCTAATGTGCAACGGCAGCCATCGACATGTAATGACTACCGTGCAATATCACAGGCCGGCCGACGTCACAATCACCTGGCTGTGTCCGGCCTTGCAGCATTGGTATGTGCCCGACACGGGGTTTGGTTTCCGAACTCTGTCGTCGATTTTGTGGATGGAGGCGAAAGGTATGCGAAATATCATTGTCGGCCACCATTGAGGTCTGACAATGTACAGGCAAATATATACGGACTACGCGCTTTGCATGGTGATCTGGCAACTTTGCATGCTTCCAAAGATCATCGTGTTCTATGACATCATCTGCCAATACCTGATCAAATTCTTCCAACGGATCGCAGCGGCACCAGAGCTGTCACTACCACCTGGTGTCCAAATCATCCCTGCCATCGGTATGTTCCATGTGCACGGTCATCGGGAGTTATGCTTTGCCAGATACAACCCCGACCACATATGGGGAGCTGCAATTGTGTCCGGCGAAATCATTGAAAGCAACTGGTCGCCGATGAATAGGAGTGCCGAAAGCATGAAGCGGATGTCGGCCTGGGCAAGAATCGATTGGATCAATGGATTGATGAGGTCGACAAACCAGAAGAAAAACTACAGGGCTGGTGAGTGCTCTGGATCCGGGTGTCGGCTTGCAGCTCATCCGCCCAAAGTCAAAACTGTGACTCGCAGCTGGCCCATTGCCCTCAAACGCTACCAGGCCGCTAGCAAGGATCTGGCTGACATTGTTGCAGTGTGCAACCCAGACTCTGTCTCCCAGTGGTCTCACCGTCTGACCGTTGCATACTCCAATAGGCCGACCAACGTCGCAGCCAATGACGATGTCTTCAAAGTTCGGGTTTTGAAACTTGCCTCCCGATCGGATCACTCACATCAGGTGACTGATGTCCAAAAGTCGGCTTCTCCACTGGTTCGCTGGATTAACAAGGGCATTGATGTCGAGCAACTCCAGTATGTTTTGTCGGCGTCGGCCATATTCTGCCACCAACTGACTGGCTATAGAATTGATGTACAGGTGCTCTGTCGCAAGATGGAGAAGAGGGTCATTGTTGGTGAGGCCCGACAAAGGGATGCTTTACGCAAGAAGCTACTGGTAGAGATGGGCAAATTCTTAGAAGACGCTCCCACGTTCATGGCTGGCCTTCTTATGGGTGCAGACTTCAGGGCAATATACCAGCTGGAAATAGCAGGGGCCGGTGCCGACACACTCGAAGGCTCACCTGAAGACGGGAAAGAGCTCGATCCTGATGCCGAGGAAGAGACCGATATTGCTACACTGGAGCCGGAGACTCGCACCATTGGACTGCCGTCGGCATTTGGAAGGGAGCGCTGCATTGAACATGGCCTGCAGTTTGTTCTCGACACCGAGCTCAAACTCCGTACCGGCCAGGCACACGATGCAATTGGGAAGATTCAGTCTCATATTGGCCGACGCTCGGTCATGTATCGGAAAGATATCCGAGCTGCACGGGGGAGTCAACATCAAGGTGCTAGTGCCCGGGCTAGGCTCGACACTGAGACTGCAAAGGTTGATCTCCAACGGCTCTACTACAATCATGCCCGCAATGCCATGCTGACGCTGGCCGAGGATCCGGCCACGTTTTCCAAGTACCAGGTAATGACACAAGCCGACCTGAAGTCTTGCACAGCAGAGCTCCGGCCCGACCAAACTGGCATCAGGCATGAAGGGCTGTCGTGGTTTTGGACACTCGATATCGAACGAGAACTGGCCGGTCCTGGCGGGGACGAACTCCTGAATGAATGTATGTGGTGCAAAGTAATCCACGATAATATCACTGACACTTGATTGGTCACTGTATAGTTGCACGGATGCATTGGACTCGTGCACAGTGTCGGACAGATCGTGCAAAGGAGGAGCTCACTATTCTCAGGCATGAGATGAAGTGGATACCAAAGGCGTGGTCACACCAAGCTGAGAAGTGGAAAGCACTGTCTCAAACAGACGCCGGAAAGGCTGATGGGCACCATGCTTACGCACGCCGACGAGAGGTGCTTGCCACCCGCCTGTCGGCCATGGCTCAATCAGTGTTCCAAGATCTGTTGGCACGCCGACCACCGCCTACAGACTTCAACATTGGCCTGGATTCCAACGGAGATACTACATGGAAAGGACATTCTACGTGATTATATACTTGTGCATAGACGAGAGCCAAAAATCATTGCTTTTTGCATAAACTCCCACAAGCAAACAGCCCACACTGACAGCATGGTAAGTAATGACGAGGTGGACGACGACATACGTTAGGTGTGGCCGACGTTCGCAGGGGAAACATGCCTTTGTATTTATAGCCCATCTGTGGTCATGCCGGCGAGATATCAATTCATCCGGATTTGACATTGGTGGTGTCTGACTTTGCTCAAAATAGAGCCTTCTTGTTTGGCCAAATTCCACTTTATTCTCATTGACAGCGAAAGCTTGGCCACCTCCTTGAGTATGTGTTCTCGGGAGCTGGCCGACATTTTCCAATGGAAGATATCTCGGAACCCATAGGAGAATATGAGCTTTCGGCCACATAACTTAAATAGTCGGATTGCCAGCAGGTTTTCGGTCACATGATATAGGAGTTTCTGCATTTTAGTGCTCGAGAAAGTGGGAAGCACCGGTGTGGAAATTTTGCCAACAACAGGGGTCAATCAAAACAGCGACCCTAACGGTGTCGGCCTCCCTGTACAGGTGTCGGCCATCTCAATGACACTGACAGTATTGTGTGGCATCGGCATTGGGA